CATTAAAGAATTACAGGCAGATTCGAAGTAAAACTTTTTTGAAGTTCTCTGTTAGCTAACGAAACTCCAAGTTTTCTCCGATTAGTACCTTTTCGATCTGTTAGATTTCCTCCCTTTCTAATGCAGACATGCTAATTAACTACGAAATAATGGGTCAAGCAAACGCAATTAAGATGGGGGTGTAGCCATTAATATAAATCGAAAACACGTTTATCATTCTGGTACCGTGCAAAGGTATCTGAGCGTCATGTGAAAATATCACTGAGAATGTCAAATGTTATAGGAGCTCCCAAGATGTCTATTTCCATAGACTGAATAAAAGCCTGACTAAAATAAGCCGCAGGCACCATAGACTTGAATATAGGCTAAGTTTACTTTAAAACAATTAAATCATAACCTTTCACTTTTATTATTGCAATCATACTCCTAATGGGGGGGGGGGGGCGTGCGATATAGACTTACCTCCACGCGGTGCACCCTGGGCAACGTATATTCATACGGCAAAAAGGTCTATTAACCGGCAGCTGACTACTGACCTCAAACTATCACGGCCTTAAGCGGCAGTTGACTTCTCACTTCAAACTACCATCACCCGCACTGGCAGTTGACTTCTCACTTCAAACTACCATCACCCCTCACTGGCAGTTGCTTTCTGACTTCAAACTACCATCACCCCACCGTAAACCGGCAGTTGACTTCTGACTTCAAACTACTATGGTCCGACTATAGTTGACTTCTGACTTCAAACTATCATCACCCCACTGCACTGGTCCATATTCGACTACTTCCACAGTACTCACCTCATCTTTTTCACTCTACCTTTGTGTCTCCATATTCGACTACTTCCACAGTACTCACCTCACCTTTTTATATTCGACCACTTTCACAGTACTCACCTTACCTTTTCTCACTTTGATGTTTCTCCCCTCCGTGAAGCCCTAAGTCGGCTAAAGGGATAATGATAGTCAACATAATGACTGCCATTTTAAATAAATAAATATTACTAACAGGAAGTGTTAAGGCTATTATATGTTTCCGTCAGAACGTACTAAGAGAATATAGATATCTGCGAGGCATTAAAAGGAGACTGAGAAACGCACAACGTCGTCACCGCTGAACAAGGTAATCTCATGCCCACTCAGACAGACTTGAAGGTGCGTCGTGCAACTTCGCAGAGGTAGTAAGTGCGGTCGTGAGTGCGGGACACCCAGCCATCCGCCAATCAATAGTCCTCGCTTGGTTTATCTAACCGCCATATTAATACAATGACTAAGCGCTGTCTGTACAAGCATCAATTCGCACACATTTCAAATAAACGTGTTCCCTGTGATATGTCTATTTCCTCTATAGCTTTGCGGTAGCTTAGCTAGTTCTGGGAGTCTTTTCAAACTAGGAGAATCTGCCATAGTCTTATAATGGAACAATTCGCTACAAGATATACAGAGAAGTCGCAGTCGAGCGTGTTGGATAATGCAGTCAGAGACAAGCTAGGCCAAAGGTGAGAGGATCAAACATGAGATTGAACAAAGATGGTGATTAGATCTCAACAGGTCCAATGCTCTGTGCGATTGAGATCACAACTTGGACTTCTTAACTATTATTACCCACATGTAATTCTTAGGTAGGTAGACATGTTATGACTTTGTAACTTTATTTTTTAGAAATAAAACTTGTGTCGTTCTTCACTTTGGATCGGATTCCTTCAACCGTTAAAGGACTGGAGAAAAAGTCATGCTTTGGTAATTTTGTTGTTATTTTTAATTCTTCAAACTTTTTTGTCATTTCACATCATTATTATTGCTATAATCATTAATATTTCTCCCTAGAACATAAGCTTTAATTATGTAAATGCACCTGAATCTGTAAACTAGCATGCTAGGTCCCGTATTGACATAGGATCACGTGTTGTTAACTATTCCAAGTATGTTCATATGTGGTAATGTTCATGATCAATATGATGTCCTGTTCACTTCACATTGGCTTCTTTGTATTCCTTATACAAAGAACTGAGGGTATGGTAACTAATTCATCACTGACTGTGAAAAAACTACTTTTCTCATCTCCTGATATTATTCAATGCTTTGGGGTACTTGGTTAAGTTCGTGGGTGTTATAGTACCACTCGTGAGGCCTTGACGAAAAAAGTCAAAATACATCATTTGACGTCACTATCAGGTGCATCGCAAGTGTGCTTCAAAATGTAACTGTGGGTAATCGAGTCATGGAGATAATGACAGGACTTTCACATGAAGTCACGATGTCATGAGATTTACTTTGTTTAAATTTTGGAGTCATCAATAGGCCCATTCTATTATGAAATGTTACAATTCAATTTGATCCATGATTTTTTTCCCGAGTATAAGTTTTTTGACATTCGGAACCTGTTAATTAGTCGTTTCAATTGAATGGTTTATTTCAAATGGCAGGCTTCATGATATTTATCATTAGCCCTTACCAATTTTGACTTCAATTGAATGATTAGTCATGGCATTTCGGTTCCCCTGCGGTTGTGTAGAAATATAGCTCACTGTGGTTCACTCGAGATGCATGACATGCATCAACGTCCTACGAGGCATTTTGATTAGACTGGAATGACAGTTTTCGATTGGATTCTCTCCTCGCTATTTATAACATTGTCAGTTTGTGAAAAAGCCGTCTAGCATAATTTCTTTTGAGTTTAATTGAAGGCATAACCACAGCCTAACTTTAGCAAAGCCGAAAATATGAACGAAATTAAAGTAAATAAAAACGATAATCAATAAATTCACATAAGGTGGATCAAAATGAACAATTAACCATTGTTTATGGCTCATCGTACCTTCCAGATCCATATAAATATTCTGATAGCCTTAATTAATACGGTAACTTGACCCTCCTACTTATTATTACTTAGCTATTATCAAAAGTGCCTCGGCTTATTGAGAGGTATGGTAACAAGAGAATCTCATCAATTCTAATGGTGAGGGTAGACAATATTTTGAGTTCGGATCTTCATCTTTCTCTGTGTCTATCACGCTCTTATCAACTTCTATGATTAGGAGAAGTCCATACAAGAAGATTTGCTAGGGTATGAATCGGTGCGTCTTGACCCCAACTAAGTCCATTATCATCTATTATTCCTGAGTGAGGGAAGCTAAAGTACCTCTAATCTTGTCGCTTAAACTATTTCAAGCTTAGAGTTATAATCTTTTAAAGATAATTGAATTGTCTCAGTCTAACGGCGAATTAAAAAAAGATGTAAAAAGCCAAGGAGGACAAACGTTACTATAAAAATGTTCTAGAATGGGAGGAGGGAGTAAATTGACGTTGAAGACATAGTGAAAAAGAAGATGTTGATGGTGGACAACCTGATTATGAGAAACATCCGAAGTAAGAAATGATGAATGGAGATGTCGAGTGTTTTGTATTCCTTGTGAATCAATGTGTGATGGTAGGTTGAATAGAATTACTATTCGTCATGTGCTTAAACATTTTTCGTTTTCTCCAAACATCACTAAATGCAGGAAGGAAAACAGTAATCTTTGGGGGGGGGGCGGGGAACAAAGATGGTATTTCTCACGGAAAAAACTGAAAGAGAGAGGGTTTGGACGCAGAAGATAAAATTTGTCGAAGGAATTGCAGGTTGAGAGAACTTGGTTGGAGGAACAGGCTGTAAGAATTGGACAGAGGGGAGTTGGGCAAATATGAGACTGGAAACTATTGTAAGTCTCGGAGTACTTGAGAATCTAGGTAGTATAGTAAAAAATTCTTGAAGTTTAATAGGGCGAAAATGGGGTTTTGAATCAAAGTGACTTTATTTGCAAATCGAGCAAGGCTTCCCGTGGTAACTGGTTATTAACAAGCAGTCAAAAGAATCAAATCTTAATGACCAACCCTTAAAAAAAATTAAGTTCAAATTATCTATTACTTTCATCACATAAGATGCATTGTCAAAAGCAATGAAAAATGCATTTGTCGGAAACAGGTGCGGAATGGATTGATAAAAATTTTGATTTAGATGAAAGCAAAATGATTAATGAACGAAGTCGCATTGGCACAAGGCATCAATGGGATATTTGGTGGTGCTGAATTGTAAGTGCGATATCGTTAACATATTAGTAAACAAACCAATGTTAGCAATATCAAGTTAAGCCAAAGACCGTACTGAAGTCTTAAATTAGGACGTCATTACAAAATGTTCAACACAGAGAGGGAGAAATAAATTAGATTCTGTAGAAGAAGAAAATCACTGACCTGTCCGCAGCGCATTAGGAATCCTTCTATTTCCCAAATCTCAGTCCGTACATCCTAATTCCTCGTCCTCATGATTTGCCATTCTATTAATCTTCAAGTGCATGACCACCAAATTCGCTTTCCTTCCCTTCCTATATCCACAGTTTCTCTATTCTAACACATCTCTCTGTGTTCATTAGAGTTCTTCCAACAAAGATCTCTCTCCCTCCCTCTTTCTTAACCCCTTAAATTTGGTAAAAGGGGGAAGGCATAAGCTTCTGGACAACTTCGGGAAAGCCAGCTGCTTTAATCGCAAGTTCAATCTTTTTTTTCAAAAAAAAATCAATGAGAGTTGATGCTTCTGCTTATTTTATTTTGTCAGATAAGAAAATAGTCAGAAGGTCGTCATAGGGAAACAAAGCCAGAATAAAAACACGTGCTGATTCATGCGAAGCCTAACAGCTAATCGTGAACCGAAAAAAACATATTACTAATAGGTTATATTGTGTAAGCTTAGTAAGACAGTTTTAAAAACTTACAACAGTTCGAATGATGCTGCACTATTCATATAAAAAGTATTTGAGAAATCTTGAATGTACTTTACGGGCACGGTAACTGTCTATAGGTCACGCATGAGTTCACCTTTATTCAGTGACTATGACCCACGCAAAACAATTCATACAACAGTAACGATATTTTTGTATTTACATACGCATCTCTACCCTTACTATATAGGTTGGTGGAAAACAAACAAGAACAGAGAATGACAGTGAAAATAGGACCGCCAAAATGATTGTTCCTATTATCCTCTGTTTTATAGCCATTACAAAAATAGAAGCGGATGTTGGATGTATTCCAGAATGTGAAGAGGAGATAACGAAATGTCTTAATATAAATGAGGAAAATTCAGAAAAAACGGAGACCGAAGAAGAAGTGACTTCCGGAGAAGATGCTAATGGGGGAGTGGCGCCAGAAGGAGCGAACACTGAAGGAGTGACTTCAGGAGAAACGACTAATGAGGGAGTGACCACAGAAGAGGTGACCACTGTGGAAGTGAATTCAGGGGAAACAATAACTGAGGGAGTGGCGGCAGAAGAGGCCACCACTGAAGGAGTGACTTCTGGTGAAGCAACTACTGGGGGAGTGTCCATAGAAGAGGCCACCACTGAAGGAGTGACTTCTGGTGAAACAACTACTCAGGGAGTGGTTGCAGAAGAGGCCACCACTGAAGGAGTGACTTCTGGTGAAACAACTACTGAAGGAGTGACCACAGAAGAGACCACCACTGAAGGAGTGACTTCTGGTGAAACAACTACTCAGGGAGTGGTGGCAGAAGAGGCCACCACTGAAGAAGTGACTTCTGGTGAAACTACTACTGAAGGAGTGACCACTACCCCTCTTCTCACTTCTTCAACTCCCATCTATTTGCCTGATGGTATAGGACCAGAGTGGAAAATGCGCTATCGACATTGCCTGTTTTGTTGTGGATGGGATATGGCCTGCAGGCTCAGCTGTGCGAGGCAATTTGAGAACTACTGGTCTTCAAGTTCAGCAAATTTTAAGCCAGATGGACTCGTCCCTCCTATTTTCAAACCGCAGTAAAATATAAATCTCTTCTTTTAATTTTTAACGCTTTTTGATGCTTACCATTAATTTATTCAATTTCATTCTTTCGCTTATCTAAAATCTCATGTGAAATTGAGTTGATTTGATTGAAATAAATCAATTTATTAAATCGACAAGGGATATAAAGGTAACTATTTTTTATCTATTAGCAGCAGACAAGGCGAGAATCTGGAACTTTCTACTGCGAAAAATTTGATTTCTCTAGATTTCAACTGTTTTACTCTTCCCTATTGTTATAATCAAGTGGTTTACCACTGGAAACACACTGTGTTTCCAACCGTTCTAGCCCATTAGGAAGAAGGTAAATGACATTTGTCTCACAAAGGATGTTGAAGCCCAACTTATAGGGCCTTGTCATTAAATTAGTATAGGGCTACTCCGTTATGGTAAATTTTCTTATCCAATCTCTGATTTGGACATAGACTGTATAACTTTCGTACTTTGTTCACATTCAGTGTATAGACAATTGAGAGTGGTTTCATTACTATTACCTGATCGAAATGTCTGATGGAACTTTGATTAATGGGAAGATGTGGTTATTCAGGGTTTCTATGGTATACCTGAAGGTATTAACTAATTACGAGAGGTTGGTTGTATTAGGTTGGCAACTAAGTCATTGCCGATTTCAAATAAGAAGGCAAATTCGGAATTTTTGTTTAAAAATATAACTTTATTCAATTAGATATTGGCCGTTCTTGTCGATGACCTTTTTCCATCGTTCTGGCAGAGTAAAAATTCCCCCTTCGTAAAATGTCTGGTCTTTGCTATTAAAAAACTGAATTAGGTGTGATCCGACATCATCCGCGTTCTTAAAAATTTTACCATTTAAAGAGTTTTGCATGGAACGAAACAAATGGTAATCCGAAGGCGCAAGGTCAGGGCTATATGGTGGGTGTGACAAAACACCCCAACCCAGTTCCAATAATTTTTGCCGAGTAACCAAAGATGTGTGGGGCCTTGCGTTATCATGATGGAAAACAACACCCTTCCGATTTGATAATGCTGGCCGCTTATCTTCAATTGCATCCTTCAGTTTTTCGAGTTGTTCAACATACACATTTGAATTTATCGTTTGGTTCTGCGGCATGAGTTCAAAATACAAAATTCCTTTGTGATCCCACCAGACTGAGAGCATAATCTTTTTTTGGTGAATCTCTGCTTTTGATGCTGTTTGGGCTGGTTGATCTTGCTTCACCCATAATCTCTTGCGAGTAACATTATTATAAACTGTCCACTTTTCGTCGCCAGTAACTAGGTTCTTCCTCGGAAATGGATCATTCTCATTGCGTTTCAGTAGCGAATCACAGATGCTAATCCGTTGCGTCAAATGAATTTCCTTTAACTGGTGAGGGATCCATAAATCACGTTTCTTGACATAACCAAGGGTTTTTCATTTTTTTTCAATGCATGTATGCGACACATTGAGCTTCTCTGCAATATCTCGTGTTGTGCTGTGACGATTTGAATCGATAATGGCCTTGATATGGGTTTCATCCACTACGACTGGGCGGCCAGATCGTTGTGAATTTTTCAGTGAAAAATCACCAGAACGAAATCTTTCAAACCAATTTCGACACTGCCTTTCTTTTAAGGCTTCATCTCCATATACGGCACATAACTTCTTTTGTGCTTGCGATGCGTTCTTGCCTTTTCGGAAGTAATACAATAAAATGTGTCGGAAGTGCACGTCCTGTTCTTTCATTTTTAAATTGGGATAAAAACAAAACTAAAGAACTAAACAAAAAAATTTTTTTAAAAATTAACCTAGAAGCCCATACAGTAAGAAAAAATATAGGTTAGATGCTCTGGCCACGTTAACAAAACAAAAGAAAGTATAGAGTGAATCTGTCAACAAAAACGGCAATGACTTAGTTGCCAATAGTTAAAACTGTTACCTTTGCAGAAGAAAGTCATCCTAAGAACGTTTTGCTGAAAAAAAGTGTTTATATGAATCGATTGTATAAGATCCATGCTCGTATTGCGTTTGACGTGCCAATAAATATTGATTAGGCTGACTTGACTACAGTTTGAAGTGGATCATTCGCAATTTGCTCAGTCCCGAAGAGACTTTACCATTAGCGTCTTATTTGCATATTCTTGTTCCCAAAATATAAAACCACATGTGACTGTTGCATTTTATTGTCCTCGATAATTCATTACACATTCGGCTGAATAAAACCTCTATAAATGAGGAAACAGTGTATCGATTCGACTTAAAAAATGCGTTTCATCGTTTTGCGCAAAACAGTTTCAGAGTGAAATTAAATGCCAAATATCATTTATTTTACGACCTATTCTTATAACTACATGGTGGGATGCGCACTAGACTTACCTCTACGTGATGTACCCCGGGCAACATATACTCATACGGCAAAATAAGATTACAAACCGGCATTTGACTTCAAACTATCATGACCCCAATGTATGTCATATTCGACCACTTCCACAGTGCTCATCTTTCCCTTTTCTCTGCCTTTATGTCTGTCTATTTTACATATGTGAATCACTCTTCTGTTCCTCCCCTCGAATTTTCGTGACTTTGATGTTCCTTCACTCTGTGAAACCCGAAGTCAACTAAAGGGCTAATGATAAACATCATAAGGATTACCATTTGATATAGATATTTCACTTAGTCTACAGTCCCCAGTGAAATCGAAAGTCTAGCTCAACGTATCTGCTCCACACTACACGTATTTTTCTCTGCCAGTGCTGGTATCTCTTCTTTCCACCAATTCCCCCTCTACAACTTTGTCTGTACCCCTTTGTTCATTTTTAATTGTCCACTAAATACATGGAGTTTCCTAATTCTTGAATTTGTAACTCTAAAAAGTCTATTATTAACGGCTAATCGTAACTTATTTAGTCATCTCATCTAGTTAATTATGATGTTTTACTGCGTTTTAAGCGTATTCAAATAGTAGAGTATACCAAGGGTATCATTGAGATTCTGAGATGAGATTCTGTTGAGCTGGGGAGAATAATTATTTATTTACTATTGGAAATGTTTTTTTCTCGTCATCAGTGGATTAAATTGCTCATTTTGCTTCAGTGTTACTGCAATCTTGCACTTTTTTCTTTGGTCTCACGAACATCGAACGTAGTGAATAGCTTTGCAATGTCTGTCTACGCGATTTCTTAATTGTCAGCATTTTTCACCTCTCCTACATTCCATTGAAAAGGCGGTTGGAGATGCTGTCATTAATTGGACTTCATACTCTCTTATTTACAACTTATTCTTCTCCCATTGAGTTCCCTATTATTATTATTACCTTGAATTAATAATGAACTTGAAATTAAAAAAGTAGGCAGCAGAAGATTCTAACTTTTGGACTGAGACAAGCAGTAGGACAAAACACTATTGAGTCACATCATTGGGAACGGAAGAGTGTTTCAAAGATGTAAAAGAGACAGACAGACACAAAGGTAGAGAAAAGGTGAGATGAGTACTGTAGAAGTGGGGGGATTTGACATACAGTGAGGTGATGGTAGTCTGAAGTCAGAAGTCAACTACCGGGTTCTAGACTTGTTTTGCCGTATGAGTATACGTTGCCCAGGGTGCACCACATGCGATTTAAATTCTACTATCATTTTTATTATAGTACCTTTTTATCAATATGTTAAATGAACATACATCCAATACAACCGTTTTCAGTGACTCCTTACTAGTATAAGGAGCAATGCACACGGTAATTGGGAGGACAATTAGTGTAGTCAAAAACCTCCCGTCTTCTATGCTAATAAGCTGTACATATTTCAATAAGCTGACGAACTAGACTGACCAAACACATGCTAGCACGCAAAATTTTAAATACTCAATTTTATTTATTTCATTTTATGTAAGTACTGTTTAAGGCTGTTGCTTCCTGAAAGTCATATAAAGAATAATAGTTAATTAGGCCCTATCTATTTAACTGAGGCCACAAAAGTAGCTCTACCTATCGAGGTTAAGCATGTCGCTCTTAAACAACTTAGGACGTCGAACTTTGTGCAATATAACTTTCCCCCAATAGGGAAATTGATGGCAATGTTCTAGTGAAGAGCCACTGTAATTTGTGCATTAACTTTACAACTGCTTTGATTTCATTTCTTAGTTGCACTGTAGGTACTTGGAGCGATATTGGCAAGAAGAGATGGGTTAAATGTCTTCGGCATAGTCCGAAGACGGCATTACTAACAAATCTTTGACTAACGAATGTTTCCGAAAATCGCGATTTCCCTTAACTTTAATAATACAGAACTTGGCATAGAAAAATACTATTCTATTTAGTATAGAACTGAATGTTAATAGATCAAAGCGTCCGTACTGTTGTAGTTATGTTGTTTATTACGAATTTCAGTTTATCAAAACTTGCAGGTATAAAGCTAGAAAAATTAAAACGCTAAAAATGATGCGCATACCAATGGCCCATCCAAATTTCCCAATTGGGAAGTCTCCAGTTGGGGAAGTTACAACGTATATTAGTTACCGCACAGCACTGATTTCGCTCCATCTCTCTTTCCCTACGCACAGCTACGCCACATCCATGTGGAAATACTTCTGTTTTATTTTATGATTGTGAATGATTCATCGTCAGTTAAACCACACAAAATACCAGCAGCAAGAAAAATTAAAAAGCTATTTTTTTAAATTCAGCTAATGCTAAATTGTGAATTATTCTAGTCAATGTTTCAAAACGCGTCAAATGGAATTTAACGCCAAAATCTTATATGACAATAAATATGATTTGAAGAACGAAATAATATTTATTTATTTATTTCAAATGGCAAGCGTTATGATAGGTATCATTAGCCCTTTAGCTGACCTCGGGCTTCACGGAAAGGAAGAGGAACATTACAGTGGCAAAAAGTCGAGAGGGGGACAAAATAATGATTCACAGACGTAAAAGAGACAGAGAGACAGTACTAATTTATTTGGCAGTAAGTGCATCAAGATGTCAAATATGTTTTATCATTTATCTCAATATTAATTAAAGTGTTTCCAATAAGTCTTATTTGTGTTGAATCGAATCGTTAACCAACACTTAACTTGAGAAAAAAAGGAGCAGCATCTGTAAATTTTTCTGATAGGTAACATGTGATCTGCCGTCTCTCCCTATTTGACTACTTTGGCTAGCCTGGTTGGTTGGCTAATCTGCACCGATGGATCCCGAAAAGGCACACTTTGAGAGTTACGAAGTTTGTTGAGACAGAGAGACCAAGTTCTATCAAGTAAAAATAATTATGTCGACAAAAAGCACTCCCACAAAACGCAACTTATCTCAAAAGGATCCTATTATGTGGTTCTGCGCTGAGTGTCAGGATACCACGATTGCATTACTAGAACTCTATACACAAATGAGAGGGGTATCTATTAGACTTACTATGTACAGATATATATACAATAGTGCCGCTTGTACATAACTATTTTAAACTTAACCTAATGAGAATCTTCATTTGACTTTCTAATATTTAATACACCTTAAATTTCATAAATGTACTACAGTTTGTCTATTATTATCTTTTTTAGCAAACATTGGCAACAATAAACCAATAATTGGAAGTAATCTCAAATAGTGCTTAGTGATGCCGAAAAACACAGTATGGTGACGGTAATTGACGTAAAGAAAAGCAGATAAAAAATTGACATTTGTAGGAAGAGCCTGGATAAGGGAAGAGCGTACAAGAGTTTGGCAAAAAATGTTTTGTGATTAGAACGATGTCACAATCCAAGATTCTGGTGATAAGAATAACATGAGATCATGGTAGAGTCAACTGGAATAGACATTGTCATAAACACTAAGCCTTTCGTTTAGTTTAAATTTAAAAAATGATCCCTTTAAGAATTATTTACTCAGTGCATCCCAAAAATTCAAGCAGGACTTTTGAATCGGAGTAGGATTCCACATTTATAATGGGGCAGGTAACTCAGAATCTTAAGTGTAAAGATTAACTCCTTACTTAGATAACAAGGCATTGGAAAATATGTACAACTTAATACCTCACGTTTCTAAATATTCAAGAGTATTTATTTAAAGTATAAACAAAATAACGATTTAATTATGGTACAATGTTTGAAAATGTCCATGTTGAAAATTTATATAACTACAATCAATCTTCCAATAATATTTGTTAAAAGATTAAATCCTTTTCAAATAAAGCAGTAGTTAACAAAACTCAACATCCATAAAGATATAAAATTTGGAAATTTTCATGCTTCGAATTCGCTCAAAAATATTAAAAAAAATTAAAATTGACATCAAACAAACTTTACCACGAAATAATAAGTCTTTAAACATTAGCTAACACGAATAGTATCAAATTTAAACCTAAATTATTGCTATTTTATTCGGTGATACCGATAATAATGATGTTGTTAAATTCCCTCATGCACACTTTTCATTGGTTTACATTAATTTAGCAAAATTTAAATGTGTGTTCTCTGACCTGGGATTTCATTTTATTTCTATCCAGGGTATTTTGTCATATTTAATATTGCCGTAATCTTAAAATTATTTTCCTTGAAAATTAAGATATTTGGAAACTTTAAGCTTTTAAAATTTTTAAGTGCTTATTGATTATCCACAGCGTTTCTACTAATATTTAAGCAGTAGTATTTAACTGTTTATTTATTATTCAGGACACTTGCTGGTCTCGTGTTTTTCCACTAGGATGTTCCCTAATGACATGGAGGATTGGGAAGGTGAGCTAACTCCCAAAGATCTTGCCCTTGCCACCACGGTGTCGCGTAAATCGCTACGGCGTAGCATGTTGCCTCTTCATCAAATTGGCTCCCCAATCCTATGTTCTCCCTCTAAAGTTGCCGTTCGACGAAAGAGTGTTGCTGCTTTTATGGGTCATTCAAACGAATCTCCCATCGCTTCATCTACAAGACAGTTTCTTAGTACCTCTCTCGACAGTAGTTCTCGTGTGCATGAAAACGCAACGACCATATTACCTAAGGAACCCCCTTCTCAACCATCTACTGTTGTATCTCCCATTCATAGTTTTTCTCCGGCGAAAATGGACGCCGATCATGATCCTTGCCATTCTTCTAAAAATCCTCTTCCCAAATCACCCGGTAACGTGTCTAAACCCAAGACACCACCTAAAGCAAGTCGATCGCTTCCTCTTCGGGAAAGCGTGGATGATGTAATGAAGAATTATGAACAGGAATTGGAGGAATGGCCAAAATTTCTTGCTAGTTTGGAGGAGAAAGCCAATACCCCATTCAAATCTACTTTAACTCCAGAGGAAATCTTGAACGACTCCGTATTGAAACATTTTGTTGAATTTATCTTCCCTGAGCAATCCACCTGGCCATCTTCCCTCGAAATCCAATTCCGAATCAAGAAGGCCTATGCACGTATTGTAGATGGATTGATACGTACCAAAGTGGAACAGGAAAATATTACACGACATTTGGCAGCTCTTCGGGAGATCAAATTGAAAGAACTTCTTCCTAAATTGGCCGATAGTCCTAGCCCGGTGTCGCTTAAGGATTTATCGGACTACGTACCCTTTCTCGATGAGACCGATGAGTTATTGTAATGAAAGCTCCCTCCCTTTTTTCTCCCTTGTGCATTATCCAGACATTTATATTTTACTTGCTTTTATATAAAACTGATTAGTTATTACTGGCTTTTATCTCTCTTTCAATTTCTTGACATCATGTCATTTATAAAGGCTTTATAATCGACTTGACCGCTTCCTGTCGCTTTAGCGGCCTTAATTAACGCAGTGATTTCACCTTCAGATAGCTGGTCTCCGCGATTGCAAAGAAGTTGCCTTAGGTCGTCGGTGGTTACATAGCCTCTTCCCTCAGAATCGATTAAAGAGAAAGCATTTAGAATATCTTGCTCGCTGAGTACGTCTTTTTCTTTCTTCGAAGATATCTGGCAAAATTGTTCGTAGCTTACGCCCTCGGAGAGGATGCTATTGTTCGTATCAACTGATCGGAGTAGTTCCTAGTAATTTTAGAGATAATGTATCGTGAGTATTAATTACTCGACCAAAAACAGGACAATATTTCAGACCTCGAGTTCGCAATTGGAGGGCATGAGGAAAAGTTTACGAAGGGCAGTTAGAAGGATTTCGCAGGGTATTCTTCCTTTTTTATCGGGATCGAAAAAATCGTAGACTTCTCTGTACTCTACAAGTCTTTCTGGGGTCACGTAGTTTTCTAATTTCATTATAGCAGTCCTGATATTCCAAATACATGAACGAGAAGTCAAAAGAAAAGATATTAATTAAATGTAAGTAAATTGAATTTTCTAATAATATAATGATCAATCAATGAATTGATTATAATCAACGATGATCATTGTAAGACCGTCTCCTGCAATATCAAAAAACGGACTTCTTACTCGGTTGCTGAGTTTTGAAAATTTGCGTATTACTCCAAGGTCGTATAGAGTACTAGTATTTGATAATGTTGTCAAAATGTTTAAAGGAAAAGATATACTTGTTACTCAAATGCATGAAATGTGTGCGATACAGTGTTGGAAATTTAAATATCCTGTTACAAGTTCAGCTAATTTATTCTTGACTTTTAAATATTCCTTTAATATGCAACTGGGGATCTCTGTGGGAGGCACTTCACTGGAGATTTTAGACACTTTATTTTTCTTCGCTTGAGAAACCCATAAACCCCAAAACACATTCCACATAAATAAGATAGGAAAATTTACATCGTTTCAAACTTACTAAGAAATTGTAAATTGGTACTCAAACTAGCATTGAAATTTATCTAAAATTATAAATGAATATCTCCTTTATACTGTTTTATGAGGTATACATTCTTGCACTATTTCAGTTTTGTATAAACCATGGTTCGCTTTAAATGCAACCTCCGTCTCTCTGACTTTTATTAAGTTTCATTCGGGATAAATAAAGTGTTCCCTTCCTGATTAAATTGTGAAATTGCATTATAGTTGGGTCCAAACCACGTCTTCTGTCTAAAAGACTAAATTTCATGCACGTGTACTCATTTCCTTTATCTTCAAAAAATGCGATGGTTTCACAGTTAATGATTTACTTCATCATTTGGCCAATCAGCTCTTCCTTTCATCACTGTAAAATAACTCATTTCATTTTAAAATATATATTTAATCTCGGTTTAAATTTCCTGCTATCTTACATATCTGGTGAGATTTATTTGTATGAAATTAGTTCCACAGTCAATTTTATGAAACTCAAACAAATAGTAATTTAATGAGTTAAAGAGCACACTGAATATCAGCTGAGATTGCACCCTCCCTTCTCTACTGCAGACCATAAAATAGGAAGGGGGGGGGGTATTTTTTGCCAGGGCTATGAACTAACTTGAAAGTAGCCTCACAATGTTCCAAACAATGATCTTATCGTGGTATTATTAGCCACATAATAGCGCTTAGTGAAGCGGTATATTTACATTGATTTCAATCATGTAACTATTGTCTGCCTCGTGCTAAGCCACAATTCTATGCCAATATGTTCTACACTAGAATAAATACAGAAATATGGACGGCGTTAAAATTTATTCATTATTTTGCAACACATAAATGGTAAAGGCAAAACATAGAAATTATTTACTTAAGAGTTATAAGACGTTTAGGCTGATTGATTATGGATAAGAAAAGTGCATTTTGATAAATTGAAATACATAATAGTACTAAAGCTATTTCTATTGTGAAATACGACAAATTACTTGCAAATCTTTGAATACTCCAAATCTTATAAATAACTGAAGTCATTCAACAACTAATATCTTAAGACTCACCAGCTAATGGGACAATACCCGTTACCCATGACTTTAATAGAGCCTACATTTGCATATGACATAAATGGAAGTTGACAAGATGAACCAAGACAGACTATGCTAAGATTTTACAAGTAGATCAGAAACCTATTCTGATCAACCGTCCAGCCATATTTAGTCTTTTATGTGATTCCGTTTTCAACGCAAAAGAAGAGCCAACCAGTGTCTGATGTATTTGAAGCGAACGATGTGCATGAGATTTCTGAAATACTTGGTCCCATTTCACTTGCCCTCCATTTACAATTCAAAATTCAGTATTCATCAAATTGTGCGTTTATACCAAAGTGAAATCATTTTATACTCATCATCCTTTCAGTAATTTTTTTATATTTTTTGATTCAATGAAAAGCAAAACTTCGCAGCATATTTCCATAACTAACTATTCGTTAGATTTGGCAACATTTAACTGATATTCAAATCAGATTAACTGATAAAGTTACACCTCGTTATAGGGGTACGTCCAATATCAATAATTGTCAAAAAGTCAGTCCAATATAAGGCTAATTATGCAGAAATTAAGTAAGACCACAATAATCGAGGACGAACGAAGTGGAATCAAAATGTCATTCACAGTATATATTGTGGATTTCCCATCAAAAGCACTGTCAATGCAAATACACTTCTCCTGAACGAAGAAAATAAACGAACTACACTGAACTGACCAATGAACTACTTCTCTAAGTTAAATTTTGGTTCACTTCTATTTGGAATAAAAATAGATCACACATAGTGCACTTTTTATCAACTGTGGGCAGTAGCATCCCACTATAAAAACCATTAAAAAGCAATCTATGCTACCAACTAATCAATCTACTCTTAGATAGAAATGACCTGGCTACTCAATCGTTTTAATTTTCTCATTTTGTGTGCAAGTTTTGTAAAGCAAATGATCGCTTTTGAATAACATCAACAACAGGTTCATTTTTTACCCATTTACCTTAAAAGCTAATCTCGAGCCAAATGCAAAAATATTGTCAATTGATTGGTTAAAAAACAACCGAAGATTTGTAAACATCTTGGTTTCCTAACTTAACTGCCTGAGTTGCTCTATTCCCCCCTCCGTGGAAGTACCATACTATCAGAAATGCGCCTCGATATACCACTTCCAAACGCCTCGGATCTTGTTTTAAGCCAGTCGGCAATTAAAAACTCCAAAAATGAGGGCATATTGCTCTTTTATTATTGATTTTTTGATTAATCGATTCACAGGTAGGGTACTTGCATACGAAATGCCTATGGCCTTTACACTATTTTCAACATTTCCTCGTTTATGTGTCACTGGTAAGTGAGTGGGAAAGTGCAAGTATCCCATAAATAACTAGTCATAAAACTCTAGTCCCAAACGAAATCAACGACGAAAAGGATTTCCTTTGGTGGAACAATTCATTCGAGACAGAGGTGAGGCGGGAAGTTGCTGCCAAGGCATGGGGTAGTCACCTTTGTGGAGGAAGAACTAGGCGGTGCCAAAATTTTAAAATTTGAGCTCACTATTGGTGCGTCTCTTCTCATATCGAGGTATTTAATTTATTGAATGGTAGAAAGTGCACCGAATCTGAGCTAATTGTTTAATAATGAATTAGAATTCAAATAATCGAAGATTTAACATAAAATATTGAATAAAAATGGAGTTCCATTCTGAAATCTCTAACACCGGACTTGGAGTGTTGGATATTAATATAACTAAAGGCAGTGTTTAACCCAACTGCAGAAATTCAAAGGAAAACTCTTTTGTTACTCTAATCTGCATGAATATACATTAATTGAAGCGGTACTTAGCTGTTTTCTTACCCAATTAGATCAATGCATATTTACGCGAGATTCAAATGAATTTTAAAGTGCAGAGAAAGCAGATATGCGTTTAAGAAATAGAATGTACTTACTTAATTAGTACATAATTTCCTTTTAATTGGGAACGAAGCATTTTAAAAATGGTTTCAATTTTTTACAGAATAAACAGTTCAGTCCCTTAATGGACACAAATAAATAATTAAATGGTGGGTAGCCAAAGTAATAAGAAAATGTACTCCCTGTTGAAAATAGACCTGATTGAACAATACTCCCAAGAAATGAATTGCCATTGTGACTCCAATTGTCTCTCATTCTTTACGAGGTAATGTGAGATAAAAAAGTAATGACTGAAATAGTAAAAAAGAGTGGAAAAAAGAAAGCTTTCTTCTCTGCTATTAGAATGAATATATGGAGAGTTGGTAAAAATTATGGTAATCAATGGTTCTATTTCTTAAACCACCCAATACTACTTTATGTAACCAATGGCTTTGAGTTCGCATGGCAGTTTGTGACGGTATTTGAGCAGATTTGAGTGCACTGTTCTGCTATTACCTACCTCTTTATTTTCGCTCGAAGATTAGCCTTCAGAGTTTCAGATTCTACCAATGACAGGGTGTCTTATTAGGCATTTAAATGGCATCATAGCTCTATTGGGAGTCTGATTTTAATCGCCTTTCAAATTGTGATATTAGTTGAGGATGTTCAGAGTAAAATAAGTCTTCCCTTTTAAATGGAAATAAGAGTATTCCTAAATTACTCCATTTTTCAGATAAAAAAATGTATTGAATTGACACTTGATGAGTGAATGAAACCACCAGTGATGATAAAATATTTCGAAATGAGATTAATGCTAAATGAAAGAATGAATGCCGATATTGTGACTAAGCAAGCAAGCGCGCGAGCGAAATAATGAATAAAATTGCTCATACTAAAATTAAATGTATTTGGGTTTGAGTTTCAACAAATGATTAACGAGGTTGGATTTAATTAAGGTTTGTACTCACCGTCGTAATATTAAAATGCTAGGAATTTGAGAGAAAAATTAATTTTATGACACAATATATAAGTGATTTTTTGACGTGTCAAATGAATTTTAAAGTGCATATCTTCGAATGAAGTACTTTACTGATTATAACTTAAAATTGCGATAGTAGTCAGAAAAGCGATTATATCTCCTAAAAACATTATTTGATAATTCACCATGCCCTCTTACGAACCCCACAACGACGACTATTGAAAAAATCTAATTGGTCACACATAGTTGTCCAATCAGAATTAAGGTGTGCGCACGTATCGGGTTCATGTATTCTTCCTAACTGATATTTCATGCACTTTAGCCAGAATCTTCGGTCTCCGAGTAATGCCATCCTTCGCCGCCATCACAATCACTAATCATGCCATACACTAGTGAGTACTCTCTCAAATCAGTCCAGGAGGTACCTTCACATCACAGTGGGAGCTCATCTGGAAAACGTTTTATCAACCTCCTCCGATCTCTCTTTTTTCTTTCGCCAAAACAGAATCCTGAAATATCCCAGAAAAAGTATACATCTATTCCTACACGACTGACGCCAGTGACCCTAAAAAGACGAAAAATAGAGTCCCCTATTCGGTCTACATCTCAATATGAAAATTTATCGAATTTTAGAGATCTAACAGCTTCAAATAATTACAGTCATGTGACTCATTCTACAACATATCTTCCAAAGCCTTCACCTCCGGTTATTCCTTATAGAGGATGTAACCAAAGACAATTTTATTCCCCTCAGATCAGACACGCAAACGATTCAAACTTCTACGCGCAGTCTTCGGGAATTCAGGATATCAAAATTGTGAATCTAGATCCCCGGCCAACTCAGTTGGTTCGTACGTTTTCGTACCGTATACCGGGAGACAGATATGTGCTCCAAAGCTACCGCCGTCCAATTTATTCAGAGAGTGTGGAGGTCAATGTATCGGATCCTGTTACTTATCGAGTCACTCAGCAGCCATCTGCAGTGATTAATCCGAAATATCTACTCCCTTCGGCAGTTTCAGGTACAAGTGAAAAGAAAGTCGTTTCCGTCGCGAATATTCCTATGGAGGCTCAGTATATTCGACCTCAAATGTGTATACCTAATGCGAGTGGAAAAGAAATTGTTCTAAAACGGGAGTATTCAGACACTTTTAATCCCCTAAGGGAATGCTCATCCAAGGATGAATCTCGCAGGAAAATGGAAATTAAAGAAAGAATTCTAGCTGAGTGGGAGCATAGCTGGAGACCCGAAGATCGTAAATTGGACGGAAGCTTTTCTTCGATAGGAACAAACAGAGAGGAACCGTCTATGGTAGGTCCACATGCCAACTTGTATTCCATTGCTAATTGTATCAAAATCCGACTATATTTTACTGGCTACACAGACAGGAGCGTAAACAAGTTAAGTTGTCCAATATCCATGTCAGTGCCTATTTAGGTAGACTAAATTGACCATAGGAGTGAAATACTTTAATGTATGCCTTGGATACCTAAAGGAAACACCCAGATTACTTCAACTAATTAGAAATATGAGAGAAAAATGATATCATTTAGCCCCAAAGGCACCTTTTTTGCCGTCCTTATTCGTCTAAAGTAAATGTTTGCTAAATCCCAACACTTTTTTCTAACGGCATTTAGATTAATTTAATGCTCGTCTTATTACATTAGAAAGTCTTCCCTTTTCAAACGCCGATCAACATTCTTTTACTTCTAACTCTAAATTAATTAATTTAATTCGGATTTATGGATTATTCTATTAAAATTAATTTTAACAAAATTCTGAGAGTTAAATAGATAGTGCTTTGTAAAGGAGGGTTTCTTTTGAACTAATGAATTTCATAGATTGAATCGGTTCCCACGTAAATTATATTGTTTATGCATATAAAGTTTTAGCTGTTTTAAAGAGGTTTAAGAGAGGGGAATTTTTTTCATCTCAAGACTACAACGGGATTTCGAAATCGCTTTTCTGACTGGCCGTAAGAAACTCGAAAAATTGGTAATAACTGTCAGGTGTGATCGATTGGACTGCTGTCTTGATAAACACATGGATATGAATACATATCAGTGTAAATACCTTAAGCACTTTTGACACTGAAATTGAGGTGAACATGAAAATTGACTTAAGGTTTTCTATGTTTGTTTTATTGGTCCGAAAAAGGGTCACTACCAACATTGTGTTGGTATCACATGACTTCAAGGTAAACCTGTGGCTTTGTTCGTCTTATTCCTACCCTGATCCCCTTTTATCCCATTTATTCCTCTTTCTTTTACCCTTGTCTTTACAGTGACATTTAAATCTGTCCTTATCAGCGTTAGAAAGTCATCTTTTTACTGGCACGCCTTTATTGCATGTGGTGCAAAGAGGACACATGGTATACAAACATCGATTTCTTATCGTGGAAGCATTTTTTTTGCCAATATTTTGATAATGAGCTAAAAATAGACAGATCTAGTGTAAGAAAAAGCCATTGGTTCCGTTAATGCAGTGTAAAACGATACATACGTCTCATTATTGGGCATTTAACAACTTCAAGATGGAAAGAAGACAAACACAGTTGCTGAGGCCGGGGGAAATCAATAATAATACCACATTCAATATAATTATTATTTTTGATTATAATGAAATTGGTGATACGGTAAATAAGCAAAGGAATTAGACGAACATACTTGAATCTAGAATGGAAACAAAGTCGACTTAAACTACTGAATGCAAAGAATGTTTATGAGAATCTATTTGTGTGAAGTTTGTTATTACTCAAATCCACTAATTTCGCTGAATTCGGATGATGTTCCACCATCTCGCTAAATTACGTCTAGTTGATTGATTGGCTGCACGGAACCGTTGACCTACTTGATTTTCAAGCCAATAACGTGTAGATATTTATCCCTAGATTAGTAGCTAGTCTGTCAACACTGTTGTGGACACTCCGAAAGATTTTACTTTAAAACCCTCTCAAGTATCTTGTGTAGTGCCCTCTTAATAAATTCTGGTAGTACTTTAAGGTCAAAGTATGTGGATGAACTTACATACTTCAACATAACGAATTTCTGGCAAATTTTACTTCTCTCCTCTGATTATGGGAGAGAAAAGTGGAGTTTTAAACAATCCAACTACCTTTAGCAAAATTTTGATTAATAATTCTAATGATCCAAAGTTTCTATTCCTGAACAAATATTTAAATTTCTTTTTTATAACATAGGTTTCTCCGAAATTAGGACAAATAAGGCACCGTAAAGAAAAATAATGGAACATTTCTTAAAGAAAACAAATAAACTCTTTAAAGAGAGATTCAAAATATAAATTTAGGTTATAGTATGAAAAAATAAACCTCAGTGATATCTTTCTTTCTAAAATATTCTCTTAAATCCGAAAAGAATTTTCTTCAGTAAGCATAAATTTAGCCACAAAAATGACGCAAATGGTCGAAATTCGATATCTGCTTTATTGGTAGTACTATCTTCCATCTTTTAATTTCCTTCATTTAAACAAAAGTGCGCATTTGAGCCATAACTTGAGCCGAGGATACATATATTCAATGCAATATTTGGCCAAGTGGGAGATTTGAAACTTGAAATAAAGATTTTTTCATAGCTCCAGGCGCTGTCAAGGCTTCTGTTTTTCACCTTGATATTCGTAACAGCATCTGATTGAAGGCGTGGTTCGCAAGGCGTGAATTCGAAATTTACACACATATCTTTTAAGGATCACAGATTTGCAATGTCATCAATTCTCTCGAAATTGAAAATCCAGTTCAATACTTGCCAAAAAGCGCATATTCGAGATGACCAATTTTAAAATTTTATGTACTGGTGCCGCGTCCACTTTCAGGGTCACGGGGTCATTAGTTGTTTTTAGCTGGCTAAAGTAACAGAGTGGGACTAGACTTCACCCCCCCCCTTTCCTACGCTCTCTTCAGTTCACCGTATTTTTGATAAATTACTATTCCTAAAGTGATTTGAGACAATTATGCTCTGAGTACATTTGTCATTTTTTTAAATCTAAAATTGCTGCATATTCAATAATTGAGTATGACTATATAAGATTTTGTAGTCCGCTAGATTATGTCGCTAATAATGGGGACATATCTTTGAAAAAAGATCATTACATTGACAATAAGGAGCATAACCAAAAATTTCCTAAAACTCTTAAAATGCAAATATTAAAGAGAGCTTTGTTGAGTAGGAGAAAATAATGATATGATGTGACCTTTTCATAAGCTATATAACACGTGTTTGCATAATTCTTAAGCCGATTCAAAGCCAAGAAACAGTTTCAGACCTATGGGACGTTTTAAAATGACACATCATTTTAATGACATTAGAAAATATAGTGAAAAGAAGTGAACAAATTTTATACTTAAAGATTATAGAATTCGCCATTTTAGAATTTACTGGCCATAAAATAGCGCATTTATCACATTTCTTGCATTGACTGAACTGCAATGAGCTCTGTTTTCTGTTGTCCAAGGGGAAGACATTCAAAAATAACATGGCAAATCGTTCATTTCCAGCCTTTCAGTCAGCTCTGTATATTCTGAATAGAAACTTAACTGGAGGAAAAGGTCATTCTGTAGTGAGTTAACAAGCAATCCTAATTAGGCAACCTGATAACTCTTACGCCATTCAATTCTGGACTTTATTTAAATTTTGAGAGAACAAAATGATGTTTCTTAATGCCGAACAATAGGAGATATTAAATAGTCAATAATTCTAAGAAGCAGAGCTCTTATAATTTCAGAAAGGTTTGCTAACATTCGAGACTTCCCAGGAAGTCTAAAAGAGAAGTGGCGACTATTTTGATCATTTAGTGTTTTGGAAAGCTACCATTATATCGAATCACGATTAAGTATTGAGTCATTACTACGAATAGAATGGTTTAAATTTAAAATTTAGGTTTTAAGCTTAAAACTCATTGAAGATTTCTATTCTCCCATCTATAAAGAAAGCCAATATCTTAAACATAACTCAAATACTCAACCTTGATTGACCGTCTAGTTAGTCAGTAAAGTAACGACGAGAACACTTGATTTCCAAAAATGAATAAGGGGAGCAGAAATAGGTAATCTTACCTTAAAGGAAAGACTGTATTGCATTCCGTTTCAAAGTTATAACACCTGGTTTCATCCTTCTATCAATGTCTTTTATCTCTCCCTTCAGTCAGGAAGCATTTATTTTTGATATATAACTAATGCTTTCGTGGTAATCTCTTAAGACACCCCAATTTTGGGGTTGGTATTCCCCACAGCGATTTGTACAGACACTGCTTTAGTTTGCTTTTCCTTGTTACTTTTACAAAACTTTTAACATCAAATTGAATTGTACACGAATTGTTTACGACGTAATTGGCACATAGGAATAGGTTGAAAAGTTAGAACTTTGCTACTAATTTCATATCTAATATGTTACTGATAGGAAATTGTTCTGATTCTTTTAGTCAAATCAAATAGGAAATGATTGAATTTAAACCAAATGTATTTCGATGACAGTTTCTTATTGTTTATAACTTATATATTGATTTTATTGATTACAAACAAATGTTGTAGTTTTCATAGTTGATTTGGCAACTAAATAGTAGATTTATTAAAATTTATGATTTTAAAGCGAATAAATCCGTTGTCTTTCAAATGTACAAATTTTTAATTAGTTAAACAAGTATAGGGAGGACGGTAATTGTAAATATTTTACGAAACAAGCTGTTTTACCTTCGCGTGTCCAAATGTCCAGAAGTGTTATTTTCTGAATTCTTAAATAAAGGCGAAAAGAGATATGTTAGTCACAGTTGGGAGCCATTTGCAAATTAGATTTTTATTTAATCAGAAAAAATACGCTTGTCTAGGTATATGTAAATTCAGTACAATCTCCTCTATGCCTTCATCGACTGTTAATTGATCTAAGATATTTTTTTAATTATTAATTTTTCCTCACTTTGTGAGATTTACACAAAGTTATTCATGCATTCTACTTGGTATTTCCAGAAACCGTGTATGCCAATACTATATTGTCTTTACTACTCAAATATTTAATTGTATATTCAAGAACTAAATCTGTCACAGTTTCGAAATAAAAACATCATAAGGACAATTAATGAAAAAAATAAGAAAAGATAAAAGGAGTTGCGTTTGGTGGTGGGCGGTGAGAAAAAGTAATGGATAATTTTCGAAGCATCAAGATATCCATTGTCACCCAGAAGTAAAATTTAGGGATAATTTAGAATGCGAGTATTAACAAAGAAGGGACCAGTGGGGTTCGTTCAAGATGAGTAGGTAAACATTTCTTGAAGCTTGATTAATTTGATTACTCTGAGTTGCATTCAGTTAGTTCCAACACCTGTTTTCGTATTAAGATTGAATTCGCACATGTATGTAGCAACCTATTATAACAACACGCACAATCCTGAAGGAATACAAATTCACTGTGAATATATTTTCACAGTTACAA